AATCGTACACGTTGTGCGGATGAAGCGATATTGCAGTGAACCAGTTGCATAATATGTCAACTATATACACCGCATATTTTGTAGCAGAGAATCAGGATGATGCTTTTCCTGGAGGGATGCAAATGCCGCATTCAACCTGCAGAGAAGAGCTCGCGCAGCAAGAAAGACGAAGCTCTTGCCCGGTCCTCTTTACGAGCGCCTTACATTTAATTAAAGCGAGCTCTTCTATATCCTACTTCTGCTGTATCTGCGTCCTGACAATATTTAAACTATGAAGAGGAGGTTGTAACGGTGCTGTGCAGTACATTTCTAACTTGGAACCCCAACGTTTTCTCTAGTCAATACCTTCGCGACCATAGCAGAGTCTGAAAGGAAGCCTCACCGTAATGCGGCAGTGTGATGAGGTGAAGCATATTTGAAATTGAATGTGCCACTCACGGTAAAGAATAAGGACGGTGCGCATCTGAGCGCTCATGTTACAGCTTGTGGATGCACACCAGACTTCACGCAGATTAGGATCCTGGGAAGAAGTACAAACAAGTTAGCACGGGAAATTTGGAGGCACATCACATAAAGAAACGGAGTAATAAGTGTGTTAGCAAAACGTCACTAAACTTGTGTGTGAGACAGAAACACGCTATCTAGAGAGCATGTGTCCGATAGCTTGATTACATAAGAGAAGGGCTGATCATGTTGCGCATGTGTCGACAAAGATTGAGTGGGTTTATATTAATTAGCCTGTTTCCTCAAGGAATAAACAGTTGTAAGTGAGTGCCCGTGGTGTCTATATTTGTTTCTTTCTGTGTGTGGTTGTTCTTTCATCGCGAAGTTGACTATTAATCAAGACCGCCAATCGGTTTACTGTATTTGTGTTCAGGAAGTTTGAATGGTTAGAATAGCGAAATTCTAGTGTGAATAGAATCAAATAAGACACACTTCCCAAAATTTCAAATATTTGCACACCCCTAGTTTTATATAACTTCTAGACTGTGCGAATAGTAAATTTAGGTTCTAAGCGAATAGTGATTTTCGTTGAATAATTTCAAATCTAATTAGAATATTATATATGACATAAAAGAGATGGGTCTATTTATCATGACCCAACTAACCTACAAAATATATTTTTTAAAATTGAAACGGCATGTATGCAAATTATTTTTTTTCCTTCAAAGAAAGTCGGAACAACTTTGAGTAGTACATGACATTTTAAAACCAGTAAACTTAGAGCATATAAGCTGAGATAACAAGCTTTTATGCTTAAAAAAAATGATGAATCGATTTGAGTGTAATGTGTTGAAGGGGCTGGCCCCTTGAACGCTTTTTCATGTAGTCATGGAATGGATTCACTGAAGAAGCTTATTGCTTCACAATTTCACCGCCGCAAATGTTCTTAGAATCCGTCCAGTCCGAGCGGAGTTGCAAAGATTTGTCGCATGCTGCAATTGCGTTCTCTCATCCCATTCCAATGAAAGTGCTGGACGCTACACAGGGAGGGAAGGAATGGGGAAAGAAAATAGGTCACGCACGCCTTGTGACATTGAGTGCTTTTTCTTTTTTTATTCAAACATGCGGCTTTTCAGTGCGATTGCGCACATATGCATTGGCAAGTGGCGACCTCCTGCAGTGGCCATAGTAACGACCGAGCGCGCCATGCTCATATCAGCTAATGGCTGATATCATGGCTCTGACGAGTGATTTTTAAGCCTGTGGTGTCATTTGTAGAGAGAAGAAAGCAATTTTCAGCTGACTGAGAATTTATTGTGAATTGCAGACCGCATGATGCGCTGTAATATTTGGCTCTCGTGTTATCGGTAGCCTCGGCCACCGATCACCATAGTTTTCTCACCTTTATTCGAAAAGTGTTGCAGGGCCCCTTCAAATCTAAAGTGGGGCTTCGTGGCAGAGTAGATTTACTCTGGGAAGGTGCTTTCAAAGTTTAGAATTTTTACACTGCAATGAAACCACGTCCACAGGCAGTTAAATACGAACTAATATACACTTATTCGATCATTCTGAGTACTTTCGTAGTAATTTAAATTTGAATCAAAGTGAATTCGATACTCTGCTATTCGTTCAAATGTTCGAAGCATTCGACTATTTGCACAAGCCTAATAGTTTGTGACCCTAGTGCTGGTATTTTAAACATGTATTGTATGAACATTTATGAACCTGTTTAAACAGGTATGACCTTCCATCTGCTTAATTATTTATTGCAGTTTGAAGTGACTTGTTTTTGCAATATGTTTAATCGTACCGTATTTACTCACGTAATCCTCGGACGTTTTTGCAGAAAACCAATAAAAAGTTAGGGGGTGCGAGAATTACATGGGGAAAATTTTCCATGAAAATGTACAGAGCCAGAGAAAATGAAGGGGCCACAAATCAGGATTCTCATGCCGCAACTAACTGCAAGTTTTGAGAAGTACTAATTAATACTCACCTCAACAATACGGTTCAACACAAGGCAGGATTTATTCGAGGCAAAAAAGCTGTAGGCAAATGGTAAAGAGTTGCAATATCGTACGCAAACCTTGGGGGAGTTCCGGGTGTAGTGCAATATCGTACGCAAACCTTGGGGGAGTTCCAGGTGTAGTGTTAGTGTTGGTCACTCGATGGAGCCTGCAGAAGGTTAGCATACGATGTCAACGTTGGGCTAATGGCCGTTTAATACGGAATCGTCCGCAGTTGCTTTTTGATGAAATAAAGTTTATCATCCCATCCCAGTTTTAAACACATGGAAGGCCCAATGCGTCTTGGTCTTTGTGGCTTTCAGCTGCCGCCGCCAGTAGTCAAACAAAACTAGACTCCGAAGAGCCTACCAGCGTCCCTATTGCTGTTGTTTGATGCACGATCAATCACTTTTAATTTGAAAGCAGCCGTGTAGTTTCCGTATCGCCCCATAGCGTAACAGTACGAACACAATGTATAAAACATGCCGCAACGCTCGCTTGCCACTTTGGCTTGGCTTTGATTGGATTCAGACTCTGTGCGATATGGCGTGCACTATCATCATCAGTGGCTGGAATGAGCCCAGGACATTACTGCGGCAATTTTCGGGGGTGCGATAATTACTCGCGGGAAAAAAAATTTTATTTTTTGGGGAGGAGGGGGGGGAGCGAGAATTTTTTGAGTGCGAGGATTACGCAATTAAGTACGGTATTAGTATTTATGAAGTGCCGAAAGGATACTTTAAAGGTGCACTGAAGAGAAACAATGACTTTGTTTAGATTAATAAACTGCACTCTGAGTACTCAATAATGCCATAAATTTCAATGTCGTAGCTTCATTTATAGCAGAGAAAATCAAGGTAGAAGTTTCATTTTGAAATTTTGCGCTGAAATCTCCGCATGTGGTGTAAGAAATTTCAAAATGTATTTTTTGTATTATCAGAGCACTGGCTTGATGATTTTTTTTTTTTGAAACTTTGTATACTAGGTCTATGACTCCCGCAGATGACATACTGTATTTACTCGCGTAATCCTCGCACTCGCACAATTCTCGCACCCCCCACATCGCCCAACAAAAATACGATTTCTTTTTTTCTCGACTAATTATCGCACCCCCGAAAACTGCTGTAATAATGTCGTCTGTTCTTTCCAACCACTGATGATGATAGCGCACGTCATCTGGCGCCATCTCTTAAGCATCAAGCGTACTATTGCACAGAGAATCAATCCAACTCAAGCCAAGCCGAAGTGCCAGTGCGCGTTGCGGCGTGTTTTGTATGTTGCGTCGGTAACCTTGTCAAGTTATGAGGCGTTACTGAAGCTGTACGGCTGCTTTCAAGTTGCAAGTGATAGATAATGCACTAAAGAACGGCAACAGGGCCGCCGGTAGGCCCTTGGGATTTATGGTAAACTCAATTTCTTAAGAAGGAAACTGTGGACAATTCTGTTAAATAGCCATCAGCCCAATACTGACGTCCCACGCTTACCTTTTGAGGGCTCCTGTTGAGCGACGAACGCTACCGCTATGTTTGCAAGCTTTGCGTGTGGTATTCTAATTCTCGACTATTTGCTTCCACTTTTTGTGTCTCAATTAAATCTTGTCTTGTGTTGAACCTCTGCTTTTATTGTTGAGGTAAGTTTTAATTAGTACTTCTTAAAGCTTGCTGTTGGTGTGAGAATCCCGCTTTGCGGCCACTTCGTTTTCTTTTTCGCTCTGTTTGTTTTTGTAGAAAGCTTTCCCCGCGTAATTCTCGCACCCCCCAACTTTTCATCAGTTTTCCGGCAGAAAAAGTTCGAGAATTACGCGAGTAAATACGGTAGTACTTATATTTTATTGATTAGAAGTTATGTAGGACCCACCATTAGACACCTTTAAATTTATGACTTCACGGTTTCGTTGTGGGAATCTGAAGGTGGTGTCTCCACTCGCGTTTTGTTTTCGCACGTTTTCTCGCTTATCATGCATCATGTCATGATAAGAGTGGTGTTTTCAGTATTCTGAAGGTGTACTTTACTGATATGAAAAAAAGTCGCTTTGCTCTTTAGTGTCCCTTTAATGTCCAGGAGTCATTCGGAATATTTTGCCATATGCTTCGAAAACACTTTCGGCCGCTCTAAAGCATAATTTTTTTTGCTCCATGATTTGCTTAAAAAATCAAAAGGTCACTTCCATTTCTGCCATTTTGATTGTATAATGTTCGTTAGTATACAACCTTGATCATGGTTCATGCTAACACTCACAATTGTAGTAGTGAATGAAATGGCATTGCACTTTGATCATACCCTTTTCATACCCTTGCAGTACTTGATGTAACCAGCATTTATAACATGGCAGCACTGAAAGAATGTTTTAGACAACAATATTCACATTGCAACATCATAATTTCCTGAACGGATCTGCAAGCTTGTGTGTTCAATTATAAACTAATACAGCTGTTGTACGCTGTGGATTTTTATAATTTAGCCGACAGTATACTTCTATAATGTTGCAGTTTTGCATGCTGGTTTTCATTTGCATTACGTGCAATCATGTTCTCTGTATCCCTTTTTCAGCCGCAACTTCCCCTGTTGGTGTAGTGCGAGTGCTGAATTTGAAAACTGGCGACCGGCTCCTTATCAAAGGATTCAGAGGCCATATTCGGGACATGGCCTTTGCCCATCTTGCAACCACAGTTCTGCTGGCTATAGTGGATGAGTTTGGGATACTCTGTGTTTATGAAATTCATGAGAACACCACGATTCTTTTGCTAAAGGTGATTTCGGTATTTTTGTTTTCCTTTTGTGGTTGTGTGACTTGCGTAGTTAGATACAACTTTTTAAAGCCCAGTCTTGAAAGGAGTCTATAAAAAAATATTCAATTCTTGTTTTCACACCATCCTCTATAAACTTTTCTTAAGCTTGTTACATTCCAGTTTGAAAAGTACTTTTTCCTTCTTCCCCAGTAGGCCATAGTTTGAGAAATTGCTACGTCATGAAGTCATAGCACTGGCTATTGGGCTATGTAGCTTAATGTCTGAGATTATGGGCTTCTTAGCTCAAAAATGTGGATTGGATTTATAATCACGGTGGCTGCATTTTGAAGAGAGTGATATGCATAAACTGAGTACTAATTTTGCTGCATATTGTCACGTGCTACAAAAGGTCTTCAACTAGGAAGAACTGAGCCGGTGGGAGACGCACCGAAAACTGGCAAGATGGCTGCTTCAATAATCAACAACTAGCCAGAGCACGCGCTGACTCAGATCATTCTCTTCCATTCTCACGGGCAGCCATGGCTTGCGCTCGCTGTAACTAGCGGCAAAGTGGCATTATTCCCCCTCTGAGAAAAAAAAAAAAGACGTTACTCCAATGCTCGGAAAGTACAAAGACAAAGTCGGGGCGAACCAACAGAATATACGCGCATACACAAAAACAGCGATATGGTTCATGTGCAGTCACACTACCTCGTGAAGTACGGCTTCAGGCGCACCACGTGGACTATCTCCGAGGAGTGCCTTCGTCGTCGTGGCGAGAAGGCGCCGTCAGGGACTACCTCGTAGTTCACATCGCTCACGCGTCGCAAGACTTCGTATGGTCCGAAGTAGCGACTGAGCAGTTTTTCTGACAATCCCTGGCATCGGACTGGAGTCCACACCCAAACTTGATCGCCTGGATGGTATTCAACTTGTCGATGGCGAGCGTTGTAGCGGCATGCGTCTGTACTCTGCTGGTGCGTAATGTGTAGGCGTGCTTCTTCGGCGTACTGGGTAAGCTGCACAGCATCAGGAGTGATCAAAGCATCGCAATCGCGTGGAAGCATCGCATCCAGCATGGTCTGGACCTCACGTCCATAGACAAGACGGAAAGGCGTGAATCGCGTAGTTTCCTGGACGGCAGTATTGTATGCGAATGTGACGTACGGTAGCACCTGGTCCCAGGTCTTGCGCTGGACATCTACGTACATAGATAACATGTCAGCGATGGTCTTGTTGAGTCGCTCTGTCAAGCCGCTGCTCTGCGGATGATTTGCCATGGGTTTGCGATGGCTTGTGTAGCTGAGCTTGAATACGTCATGAATGAGCTGGGCCGTGAATACTGTTCCTCTGTCTGTGATTACGCACGACGGGGCGCTATGTCGAAGAACGATCTGGTCCATAAAAAATTGTGCGACGTCGGAAGCCGTAGCGCGTTGTAGTGCCTTTGTTTCGGCGTCCTTCGTCAAATAGTCGGTGGCTACTACGATTCACTTGTTGCCGGCAGATGATAGCGGAAAGGGCCCCAGTAAACCCATTCCTATTTGATCAAATGGCGCTCTGGGTGGTTCTATTTATTGGTTGAAGAAGCCCCGCGGGCTTTAGTGGCGGGGATTTGTGGCGTTGACATTCCCGACAGCTTTTCACGTATCGCTTTAACGGATGCAAAAAGCTTAGGCCAGTAATATGCTTGTCAAACTTGAGCGAGAGTTCGAAAGGAACCTAAGTGACCAGATGTAGGCTCATCGTGGCAGGCAAGAAGAATGTCCTCACGCATGTCAGTAGGCACAGCTAGAAGATAGGTTCTCACATATCCGTTGAAGTTTTTCTTATACAGGACCCCATCTCGCAGACGGAACGACGACAGGCTTCGATAAATACATCATCGAGGTATGGACGAGTTGCGTCCTTCCCGGTTTTCGATAACTGCGCGAATTTCATCGTCCGTGCGCTGTCGTGTAATCAGATCTGTTGTATTAAGGGCCCCAAGGAAACCAGCGTCATCCTCGGTGTCGTGGCCACAAACTTCGACAGGTGCACGGGATAATGAATCAGAATCTTCGTGCTTGCGGCCCGATTTGTAAGCGATTGTGAAATCGTATTCCTGCAGACGAAGACTCCATCGCGCCAGTCGCCCACACGGGTCCCGTAGGTTGGCTAACCAGCACAACGAATGATGGTCGGTCACTACCTCGAAGTGGCGTCCGTAAAGGTAAGGCCTGAATTTCATCGGGGCCCATACAACAGCAAGGCTCTTTCTCCGACGTGGAGTAGTTGACCTCGGCGCGGGAAAGAGTGCGGCTAGCGTACGCTATCACTCGATCTGTGCCCTCTTGTTGTTGTACGAGGACAGCACCAAGACCCACGTTGCTGGTGTCAGTATGAATTTCAGTATCAGCGTCTTGGTCACAGTGAGCGAGGACTGGTGGTGTCTGCAAACGCTCCCGTAGTTCAGAGAAAGCTGCGTCCTGTTCTTCCTCCCAGACGAATGGAACATCTTCACGAGTGAGTCGAGTGAGCGGTTCAGCAATCCTAGAAAAATTGGCTATAAAGCGGCGATAGTACGCGCAGAGCCCTAGAAAGTGACGCACTGCCTTCTTATCACGTGGACCAGGAAACAAGGCCACGGCGGTACTTTTGTCAGGGTCTGGTCGAATACCATCCGCACTGACAACATGGCCGAGAAACTTAAGTTCCTTGTAACCGAAGTGGCATTTTTCTAGCTTTAGTGTCAGGTTAGCAGAGCGGAGCGCTTCCAGCACATTCTTCAGACGCTTTAGGTGCTCCTCAAAGGTGGCAGAAAACACAACATCGAGGTAAACTAAGCACGTGTGCCACTTTAGACCGGTAAGAACAGTGTCTATCCATCTCTGGAATGTCGCAGGTGCAGAACAGAGGCCGAAGGAAAGCACTTTGAATGCATATAGGCCATCTGTTGTAACGAAGGCGGTTTTTTCACGATCTCGTTCATCAACTTCGATCTGCCAGTAGCCACTTTTCAAGTCTACCAATGAAAAATACTTGGTCCGCTGCTGTCTGTCGAGGGAACCGTCGATGCGAGGCAGCGGATAGACGTCTTTTTTAGTCACGCTGTTAAGTTTCCTGTAGTGCACGCAGAAGCGCAGTGATCCATCTTTTTTCTTCACGAGCACGATTGGAGATGACCAGGCAGTTTTCGAAAGTTGGATAATGTCATCTTGCAACATCTATTTGACTTGAGCATTTATAACATCCCATTCCTTTGACGAAACGCGGTAAGGGTGTTGTTTTATGGGCGAGGTGGCGTTATACGTAATTATTCCGTGTTTGGTGATCGGTATCTGACGAACCTTCGAGGTAGACGCGAAGCAGTCCTTAAATTGATATAGCAGTTCACGTAGCTCGGTCTGTTGTTGTTCCGAGAGGGTCGAGTTGACATCAACTTTTCCAAGAAGTGAAGTCACGTCGCTCGGTGTCGGTCAAAGCTCGTCGTTGGCTGATGTAGATGCGAAGCATTCAGAAACGTCTGCGATAGGCTAGGCGAAAGCGATGGCGGTGTCACGAAACAGGTGCCGGTACTCGTTACTGAAATTGGTCACAAGTAGGGCAGAGTGTCCGTCATAAAGCGTGACGAGGCTGCGTGCAGCGCAGACACCTAGCACGAACAAAAGTGTCAAGTTGCCTTCGGCGACAACCTCACCATCCCGTAACTTGTCAGACACCACATCAACTGGGACGCTTGAAGGCGGAGGCAACATGATGCTGTCGGTAGAAACGTGTAGCGTGCTGTCACGGATGTCGTCAGATTTGTCGGAGGATCCAGCTGTCGAAAACGTCACTGTACGCTCTCGAAGATCGATAATAGCGCCATGCTCCCGCAAAAAGTCTACTCCCAGGATTAGGTCTCGGGAATAGTCACGAAGTATGAGACAGCTAGCGAAAAACGTACGTCCCCGAATGCTCACTCTGATATTGCACATGCCGATTGGGGTGACTACGTGCCCGCCGGCAGTACGAATTTGTGCTTCGTACCAAGGCGTTACAACTTTCTTTATGTGCGCTGCTAGTTTCCCGCTTATGATCGAGTAGTCCGCACCTGTGTCCAATAACGCACTAACGTCGTGGTGACCGTCGACTACCACATGTATATCCAGAGAAAATCTGCTTCTGGCTTTCGTCGCTGTCGTCGGGGAATCGCTCCGTGTCCGTGCTTGCGTCGGTGGGAGGCCTTGCTTGCGTCGAGTGTCAGCGGCCTCGCTCCCGAAGGTCGCTGTCGTTAGTTTTCCCGCCTAGGGCTTGGCGAGCGCACCGGCGCCACTCCTGGGAGGCTCCGAAAATTCGGAGAAGATCGCCTTGGGGATGGGGACCGTGACTGCCGCCGCAGTGGCATGCGCTGCTGTGAGAGGTAATCTTGAATAGCTCTCGGTCTTTCGCCAAATCTCGGCCGTGGTGCGTCGACGGCAAAACCCTGTAGCCCGAGGCGACGATAGAGGTATTCCCGGAACACATGTCCAGCTTCACCACAGTAATAACACGGTGGTCGTCTGTACGGTGTGCGCCATATGTCGGATTTTCTGGGAAGCGGCTGTCGATTTTCTAAGTGCTGAATTGGCTGCAGCGAAGGAAGTCCATCCTGAGGCATAGGAATAACGAAGTGCGGTGAAGCAGGAATATATCGGCTTACAGCTTCTGCGTATGATGCACGATGTGGCTCCGCCGGGACAGGCGGGACATAGCTGGAAGGCGGCACTTGGAGAGCCTGTCGTGCTTCGTTTCTGACAAGGCTGCAAATAGACCCTGCAGTAGGTTGGGACTGGCGCTGAATTTTTTGTAGTTCGTCACGCATCACCGATCGAATGAGATCGCAAAGAGAGTTGATGTTGATGTTGCTTGCCGCACCTCTGATCTGACCTGTTGACGAAGCGGCACTCACTTGCCGGTCGTTTACAGTAGAGCGCTTCTGCAGCACTTGCTCCATGGTTGTGGCTTCGGTAAAAAATTCCGCCACAGTCTTTGATGGAGAGCGAACGAGGCCAGCGAAA